GTGATCTAGTGGTAGAGTGCTTGTCTAGCATGCATGAAGCCCTGGGTTCAATTCCTCAGCACCACATAAAGAGAAAAAGCCATTTGTGATGCTGTGGCTCAAGTGGTAGAATTCTAGCCTTGAGCAAATATGAAGCTCAGGGACCGTGCCCAGGCCCTGAATTCCAGCCCCAGGAATGGCAAAAAAAAAAAAAAAAGGTAGATGGAGTGAATTTTCTAGGGTGATGGATTGGTGGAAAGGCAGAGTGGAAGCAAGGAGAACAGATCACTGTCCATGTGAATGGCCCAACAATAAGTGGCAATAGTATGGGTAAGGACTGTGGCTGGTGGGGAGAAGAAACAAGAGTATATTGCGTTCCATTCTGCTGCTTGCTTCTGCTCATCCAACCTCTCCTCCCCCTTAAGTGGAATCCAATTTTTAGATTTGCTCTCTGCTCCCTGTAGTTCTTGTGCCTTGGGGTTCCTCAGTAGCCACTGCTCCCAGCAGCCCAGGCGGTTCAGCTTAGCTCCCAAGGAGGTCTTTTTCTCCAGTGAGTGGGTCTGAAGAATGACTGAACTGCTCACTAATCTGCTCCTGCTTCTGCTTACTGAGGAGGGGACTTGGCAGGGGGTTGCTCTAGTGCGCTCCTCCTGCTTGTGTTAACTGCAGGCCTCAGCCCTTGAGAAAAGCTAGAGGATTACTGCTCTGGGGATCCCTGCCCCCTCCTTGCCCCAAAACAGCTGAAGGAAAGGCTGAATTTTTTTTTTTTAGCAAGGAGATACATTGCTGTATTTGTGGTCGGAAAAGAAAATATTTAAAAGTTACCTTTTCTGGTGTTAACAGGAATTAAATCCTATGAGAGAAAATAAGAGACTACTAGAAGGAAGATTAGCCAGCATTACATGCCTTTTCAGTCTTATATACTTAACTTTTGAGTAGTCAAGGTCACGCACAGTGTGCTTTGATTGCTTTTTTTTTTCACTTGGTAGTAAATTTTTTCCTGTCTTATTACACATCTCTCCATAAGCAATTTTGATAATTGCAAGGAAAGCTCTGGAAAACATTTCACTGAACTTTTCCCCCACTTGTCGCACATTTGAGTTCGTTGTAATATTTAGGTCGTATAAGGAGGTCTGAATTCTTTAAAAATCTGTGTCTTAAATCTGGCACGGTTGGCTCATGTTTGTAATCTCAGCTACTCAGGAGGCTGAGATCTGAGGATTAAAGTTTTGCAGTTCAAAGCCAGCCTGGGCAGGAAAGGTAGTGAGACTCTTATTTCCCATTAATCATAGAAAAGCCCCAAAGCAGAGCCATGGTTCAAGTGGTAGCCTTGAGCAATAAAGCTCAGGAACAGTGCTCAGGCCCTGAGTTCAAGCCCAAAGACCAGCGCACATGAGTGTGCACGCACGCACACGTGTACACACACACACACACACACACACACACAGCTGCAGTTTGGACACCCTGTAGATTTCTTGGACAGGGGGAGATTAATGAGGGGAGATGGTTGTGTAGTTAGAGGAAATCAAATCTTTAGGACAAATAATTCCCACCAAAAAGTTAGCTCTGGTCCTGTCAGCAGCTAAAAGATGGTCTATTGGCCCCTCTATATTCCCAACATCATTGAGCCATTGGCCACGTGGTAGCTAGTAGGTGTCTGTTAAGAATTGTCTCTTTTCTCTGACAGTAGGTGTCTGTTAAGAATTGTCTCTTTTCTCTGACAAACTCGCTGGATTCTGGCTGGAAAGGCAGCTGGGGCTGGGATTTCATCCTTTCCTTTTGTGGCAGGCCGTGCAGAGGGAATTCTTGCAGACCTGGGAGTCTAGTTCCACCAGATGCAGTGGAATGAGCTAAGGAACCCTGAGCACTGTCATTCCCGCTTTTCTAGACACTTTCTTCAGATCCAAAACCAGCAAGAGGAGGCAGCAAGAGTTAAAGAGTCTAATCAGGATTTGCACTTGTTGCTGTTTTAGCAATAGATCTCTTATCTTAAAACTAAGCTTTACCAGCCCCTGGAATCTACAGAGACAGACTCAGGTACAGTTGCCCTGGTTGACCTGTGTAGCGTGGAATCGAGCTGGAAAATTCTGGCATAAGGATGAGGGCTTTATTCTAGGTCAGTTCTGTTCTCTTGTCTCTACTGAAGTTACAAAAGATTATCATTCATCTATATTTAAATCCTCCGAATGTGCTGATTGATGAAATCTTTTCTCTTTTTAAAGGCAATTTGGGAATCAGACAAAGTGGAGTACAAAGCCATGGATGTTTCAGAGGGGGTGAGCACTACGAGAGCCTCACTGAAAGGATGACCCTGGCACTTCCAAGGAGGCAGCAGCACAATAGACTCCTCCAAAGAAGCAGTGACAGAGTTGATTCCCTCGTTGGCACCGCCCCCCTCAGTGGGACGAATTGCTTGTTTTCCCCCTCTCTTTCCTGCCGACCTTGCAGACCAAAGAAGTCAGCTATTGCTAGCAATCGAAGACCTCCAGTAACCTATGCGCAGGTATTTTATTGAAGGCTGATGACCATGAAACATAGCAAATAAGAAGGGAAATATGACAAGAGTTTCCTTGTGTGGCAGGGGCTTTGGAGCATTGGGGAAGGGGCGGGGGGGGTGTTAGAGAGCCACCAGGCAGCCTGTAGCCTGGCTCCAATCCCAGCTGCAAGGGGGTGTAGCCCCCACGGATCAGGAGCGGTGGGGAGGCCCATCCCAAACGCCCGTATATCCAGGAGAAGCCCTGTGTAAATCAACGTGGGCCCCCTCCAACTCCAGGCGGGATAGTGGGAGGCGGGGTGCAAGGGGTGGAGACGGCATTGCAAACGTCTTGCAGGGGGGGAGGAGGGAGGGGGGGAGGATGTTGCCTTCCCAGAGAGATCCGACCTTTCTGGGAGAGGCAGAGTGCAGTTTCGTCTCCAGGATCCGCAGTGATGTGTAAAAAGCGGGCACGACCCCCGAAGTCTCAGAAAGACCCCGCTCCGCCCCAACCCCCAGGCCCGCCTGGGCCCGCAGGTGAATGGCTGGTCAGCACAAAGGAAGCTAGCTGGCAATGTGGAATTTGGACCAATTTACGGGGAGACTCTGTCGCCTAGGTTCCCAACAGACCTCAAGCAAAGAAGCCTGTGGTCAGGAGTGGATGAGGATAAAAACATTGCACCAGGCCAGGCTTATTGGAAAGGCCGAGTTTAGTTATTCTGGGATGGCGAGGTAACAGGATTAAAGGGATTAAGGAAATCACCTCAAACAGTTGAGGAGGGGGTAAAAAAACACTGGTTCTATTTGTTTTCTTCCTAGGCCCCAAACCGATCCGATGGGGCCCTGCAGCCGGTCGCCAAACGAAGGGCCCTTGCAGGGGCATAGTGAACTAGCCACCGGTTAGGGGCTGCAGGCAAGTAGGCGGGAAATAGTAGAAATCGGGTCAAGGGTCAGGAGAAGATGGAACCGCTCTCTCGAAAAGGCCTAAGGAAACTGCGTTGACACCGTTCAAAATAACGAAGAGGACGGTTTAGAACTGTTTCGACCCTCAGCTGTACTTTGCACAACTCCAATCTTGCTACGCTGAAGGCTCAACCCGCGGCTTCAGTCCCTCATCCCGCTGCATGTTATTTGTTTCCTGCTGGGCATGCTCGCAACGATTTCATTTTAATAAGATCATTGAGCTTTCCAAAGGGTTTTTCGTTTTGTAAATATTTCAACTTGGCTCAAATGTCTTCCCGCCCCAGTGCACAAAGGTAAATGTACCCGCTTTTTTTTTTAATTCTTTTGGGTCCGTTTCCGGGGTCACAGGTGTCCGGTTCCCGCCCCGGGAACAGACACTCCTTTCTGGGACACTCACCCCAATCAACAAGTGCGCGACCAAGCGCGGGGTGTACGCGCCCGCTCCCAGGAGACGTTCCCAGAAGACCAACCGCTTTCTTCAGTTCAGACAAGTTTCCCAGTCTAAAGTGGTAGGACCTGATGTGTTTGGGGGAATGACTCGTAGTTTAAAAGTAAAGAAATAAAACAATCACCCATGGGGGATTCTGTTCGCCTTCCTCCAGGTCCTACTCAGCCGTCGGGAAGAGGCTCCCCCTCGCCCCCCCCCACGCCTTGTCCAAAACAAGAGTGTTGACCTCCCTTCTCTCCAACCCCTAACATCTGCAAAGTTTTCGGGCCGCGAAATTATCAGGACTCCATCATGTTGGGTAGAAAATTTATTGATCTCTCATTTAAGCCATGAAAAGTAAAATCTGGAAAAAAAAACCGGAAACAAACAAAAAACAGCCCCTTCTCTAGGACCCGAACGAAATTCGAACCACGACATCAGCGCGACGCACAGAAGCGAACAGCCACGGCAGAAATCACCAACGCAACGGCCTAAATGCGGCACTCGACACAAGCTGTCCCGCGGCCAGGGGCGGCGGCGAGGCGGGGGACACACGCACACCTGGCTATAAATTAACCTCGGCTCGAGCTGCCGCGCGGACAGCCTCCCCCGCCCACCCCCACCCTCCCCCCCCAAATAAAACCACAAGGAAAACAGATGCAACTCGCCTGGGGGCGGGGGCGGGGCCGTGCTCAGGCCAACATCCCCCCCCACCCCCCGCAGTCGAGGAAAAGTTTTTCCATTCACGCACACCTCGAGGCCTAGCAATCTAAACGAGACAATATTTTCAACTGGAACAGAGGAACCCAAGAACCGGGAGGAGGAGGGGGGGGCGGCTTTTTTTTTCTTTGCAAACATCACAGCGATCCCCAGCCCAGAAATAGGGGTGTGTGGGGGGGAAACAGGAAGGGGCAGCGGCCGGAGGGCAGGCAGTTCTAGAAAGTCCCATTTCCGCTGCTCCTGACTTTTTTTTTTTTTTTTTGCTTTTTGTACAAAAACCTGACAGCTAACAAGCCAAACTTTCTGTCCTTTTCCCCATCTTCGGTACAAGGCAACAGTCCCAGGCAAGCAAAGCGAAACAACAAGGCGTCCCAACCATGGGAAGGGGAGGGGTGCGGGATAGGGGGGCGCAGGGCTACCGAGCACAGGCCAGGCGACTCAGATGTGGGTCAGCGGCACCGTGCCGTTGACGGCAGTCCCGGCTCCCTGGTAGTGCTGGTGCACCCCGTGCAGACGTCCGCCGGGCAGCGGCGAGGTGGCGTCGGCCGCATCCCCGCCGGGTGGCAGGTACATGCTGATCATGTCGCGCAGGTCACCGAGGCACGCGCGCTGCGAGTGCGACGTGATGGCGGGAGGCGGGGAGCTGGGTTCGGACTTCACCACCGAGCCCATGGGGCCCAGGCTCATGGCGGCGGCGGCGGCGGCGGCAGCGGAGGGCGCCATGCCCCCGTAGCCCGAAGCGGCGGCGGCGGCGGCCGCGGCATTCATGTAGCTCTGGGCGCCGGGGGGCATCATGGGGCTGTACTGCAGGCCGGCCATGTCGTAGCGGTGCATTTGCGGGAGAGCCGGCGGCGGCGGCGGGCTGCTCATGCTCGGGGGCTGCGCGTAGCCCAGCTGCTCCTGCACCAGCGAGTACGCGCCGTTGGCCCAGCCGTTCACGTGCGTGTACGTGTCCAGGCGCTGGCCCACGCCCACTGGGCT